AGTTAATGGCACATTTTCTCTGGAAATTCAGTTACAGTCCGACACAACAACATTACAATTATATTAGAGCAACACAATACCCAGCAGTGTTTGGTTTATATGCAGCTGGTTTGTACGTATTGCACTGAAGCCTAAGAACATCAAGGACTGTACTAGTAAGAGCACAGGCACAGGAAGAGGGATGTGATTGCTGTTGGCTATTCAGTGTAGCAGCCCCAAGACTGCCTTGAAAGTACTACACCCAATTTTGTGCTTCTCAGCACGAAGACACTGATTAATTGAGCTGAGTAGGGCAGAGGGCCATTGAGATGACTGGGGCACTGGCACGTGAGACATGGAGACAGTTGTAGAAACGTGGCTTTGTCCAGCCCACAGAAGAACAAGCAAACTGCTTTTTCTCCAACACTTTACAGTGATGATGGAGCCAGATGCCTCTTAGACATGCACAGCCTCCAGTGCTGGGGGAAAAGGGCACAAGCTGCAGACAGCTAAAATCCCAATTAAGAAGTAAGACAAAGACAATTACTATAATGAGGGTGATAAATCTCTGGAATGGGTTGCCCAGAGGGACTGTGGGATGTTGATCCTCAAATACAAAGTTTGGCTTGACAAAGCCCTGACTAACTTGTGGTTTCAAAGTTTGATTCAGCTTTGCAACTGGCTCTACTTTGAGTGGGGAGTTGGATATATGACTTCCAAAGATACATTTCAACCTATATGGCACAACTCCCTGATTTTCCCTCAGTAAATGTTTTAATGTTATCAGACATTGCAAGAACATTTTCAGGCAATAAGAACATCAGCTTCCTCAATCTTTCCATAAATCTTAAATATTTTTGTTTCTACTTCAATTAGATCACAGTGGCAATAGTGCTGTGCCATCTGGAATAAATTAATACTATTGATTTCATCTTTTGAGGATGGCGTAAAATGATTTCTCACTTTTTTTCTCACTGACCCTCAGCAATCTACTTCTTTGCTTATAAAGCCCTGAATATTATCTTTTGGAATGCTAGAGCAACCACAATGGGACTAAGGAAGGAAAAAAAAGAAAGCAGCATTTTCATAACCTTTCTAATTTCAGAAAAGAAAGTCTCTAAGGAAATTATGAGGGTGTATTAACATTCACAATGATGGTTCTTGATGTACCCTTTGCAGACACATACTATTATCTAGACTCCCATATTCTTCATATAGTCACAATAAAATCCAAAGTAGAAGGAATTTATTTATTGTAAACACTGTAGATGGTATATTTGATTTGGCCTATATATCCTGTGCTACCAAAGGAAAAATAACAAGTGGAAATTGTCCTGAAGTGATTTCTGTTTGGTATGTGCTCTTTATGGAGTAAATGGCTTGCATTTTAGTGCACATGGATCAAATCCATCTCAAATATGATTCAAGACATGTTCTATTTTGCTCCTTCTCTCTGCACTAGTTTTGCCTTTGCCCTTAGCAGCATCTCCACTTGCCTCAGTGACCTACTCTCGTATGTATAAAAATAAATATGTCAGTTGCCTATGTTTTATGAGGATTAGGAGGATATTTATATAAAAGGTAGTGTCTGTATGTGGCAGCAGGGTCTGCCTCACTCAACTTGTGTGTGTGAGTAACCTGTTCTCACTCCAGGGAAGGGTCTTAGTGCAAGCTGGCAATAACCAGCAGATGGTGCTCAGAACAAACAAAATGAAATATATTAAGAAAGATGAAGAAGAACAAAAACAAAACAAGAACAAGAAGCAGGGAAAGCTGGTTGTTTTTTATATTTCCCTGTGACAAACAATTACTTTGGTGGGTTTTATGGGGATTTTTTTGTGTTTTTTTTTTTGCTTTTTTTTTTTTTTTTTTTTTTTAATTTGTTTGTTTTGGAGCTTTTTGTGTTTTGGTTTGGTTTTTGTATGTGGGTGTTTTTTTTTTGTTTTTTTTTTTTTTTGTCGTCCCTTTTGTGATTTATTATCCTGCAGCCAATATTATAATTTCACTGACATTTGTTCATAATTAGTTTTAGGTGGTGGATGGGTGAGAAGGAGCATTTACTAGTTGTTGACAGGTCTTCTGCAGGCCCCTTAATGGCATCCTCTGAGGTCCAGACTGCTTTGAAATTCCTATAAATTCCTAACTGCTTCATCATAACATGAGTGGAAAGGATTGTTAACTGCTCCAGAAAAGCACCAGATTTTTAAGAAGAATTTCTGCACATCCTTTAGAGGTCTAGTCCTAGTACAGATTGTTCACTATATTACCTTAATTAATATTTGGCAGAATAGTCACATCTGTTAATTGCTTAAATTCAGTATTAACAAAAATCCTTGGGAATATTCCTTGAGATATTGATTAAAATAAAAATTAAGTCAAATATTGTCTATATTTGCAAGTGACATGTTTCCAGTCACATGAGATATTATAAAGTAAAATGAAGAATATATCAGATATTTGTTTTGTTTTCATACAAGAAAGAAGAGCCTTGAGGTCTGCTGTCAATGGTTTGGAAATTCTAGCAGATTTTCAAGAGGCAGGAGCTGTGACATCTCCATGCCTAAGGGACAGTGCAGAGCCACTGTCAGCTGGGCAGAGTTGTGGAGTCCACTCAGAGGACAGAGACTGGCTTGTCACTGTCCCTGATGCCACCGTGGAGGGAGCTGTGCCCTTGCTGGCAAACCCAGTGAAAACTCCTGGCTGTTGCCCTGGTGCAGAACTGCCAGGACACTTCCTCAGGGATGGTCATTCCCTTTTTAGTGCACTGCCGTCCTGTCCCATGGCAGATCTAACTTCATGTTTAATTCTGACCTTTTTCATCACTGTGTTGACATTTGTTCCTCTTTTTGTTTTCCTCCTCCATCAATGCAGAAAATAACTGTTATAATTCCAGGCCTAGGGGAAGATCAGGGGCAGATGTCCAAAGTTACTGATAATAAAACTACAGCTCCTGAACCCTCTCCTTTAAATAGGAGCTCAGATCTCACTACATTTTAAATGCAAGAAATCTTTATTTCAGTCTGTATCCTAGCTATGTAAATAGCAGAAGCAGAATAAAAAGTGTGGAACAAAAAATGTTATTTCTTTTGCTAAAATCTTTGGAAGCATGAAGCAGCTGTATCCTCCTCTTGAAGTAAAGTGGGGCAAAGAGTGCAGAATCTTCATGACAGCTCCTTGCTTTAAATAATGTTTCTAGTGCCTAGGACCCAAGCACTGGATGCAGTAGATATATTGCTGTGTTCCAAAGCAATCATACAATGTCATAAGGTAATTTAACCTGTGTAAATCCCTAGAATCTGTCTACTCTCAACAAGTGCACTGGTGACATAAAAAAAGCTGCTAGAAAAATGTGCCATTGTAAGAGCCTGTAGAAAATTGGGATTGTGACAATTTTTCCATTGACAATATGCTTTTATTTGCTAAGCAGTAGCTTTTCTCAATTGCAATATATGTATACAAGAACATATGTATTTTTCAAACAAAAAGAAATTATAAGATTTCCAGGACTTGCATCAACAATATATATAATTGCACTGAGGTAATTTTCTCTCTGTTTAAGGCCAATCCTAAGAAGAGTTTCACTGGTAGAAATGGATAATAATAAATATTTCTTTGATTTGGTGGGGTGATGGCAAAGGAGTAAGAATAATGAGTATATTAAACTCATTATTTAAAACAACCCCCAGTCCTGATCTATCTCCTCTGTGACAGACTTCATGTGACCATACAGCACAGCACTAAGACACATGTTCACATCTGATGACCTTATGGCCCAAAAAACTTCAATTTTTGCAGTTTTTCTGCAGGCATGGCACAACCTGCCTGCTGCCTCACATGAGTGAGAGTTAAGGATGTTTGCATTTGGGAAATGGGTAGATTTAATGATATTGCCTCCTAGCAGGCAGACTGTCCCCCAGGCTTGTCCTAGGATTTGCCTTGGAGATATATTGTTGGAAATTTCCAGAATCAGGCAGAGAAAATAACAGTGCTGGGTGTAGGAAAAGGGTCTCAGTGCTGTGTGTCCCTCCTGGGACCGTTCTCATTCTGCAGTGCAGACATATAACGACACCATGGAGAAGGAGGAAGAAGAGGAGGACAAGAATGAAGAGGAGGCTGTTGTGGATTCAATCTCCCAATAATGAGGTCAATCCACCAGAGCTGAGAAGATGTCCAGATGAGCCAGCCTGCATGATAAAAGAAGTCAGAAATTGAGAGACAAATTTTCCTTATTCAAATCCTCCAGATTCTGTCCATAGCCAATGGAATGATGTCGGGACCCCCCTGTTAGTGGCTGAAAGTGATGAGAAGTACAACAAATAGATGAAACAAATTCAGTTAAACAGACCATATTAATCTAATTAAAAGTATTCACTGTGAAGATCTTTGGACACTTCTGTATTGCAATGGTCATGCAGAAAGTAGAAGTCAATCAGATAAGAAATCTTCTATTCCCAGAATCATTCATAGCATTCAAGAACTATATCAAATATGATTAAAGTAGAATTTAAAAAGAGTTCTATGGTACAACTATGTTACAATTAAAAGTTACATTATATTATATTCATTTAATTATATTTTCAACATCAATTGTGGTCTCACTGCACTAGGGAGAGTCTCAGCAGCAATAGACTTCCAGAAATAAAATGTTATTTTGGATTAAGTAGAGAATGATTGTGATCTGCAGTATTTTTTCCTGAATACCAATGTATTTAGAAAGCTTAATTAGGGTATTTTATCACCTATTTAAATTACTTCAGAAATTAAATCAACCTAAAAGTAAGATTTAAAACCAGGAATATTCAAAAGGAGTTGGTAAATTAATTTAATGTGCAGACAAGGTCCCAAGAAGCCAGTGAAAAGGCAAAAAGCATCAAAGAGTGTGCTGAAAGGAGGGGAAGAAAATATTAAATAGAAATACAAATGGAATCTGACAAGAAGTTGAGTCTGAGTATTTATAGGTGACAGGGTGTTAATGTATTATGCAAAATGAAATAAAAAGCTGGTTTATTTTTCCAGATATTACACACAGAAAGAAGTTTAGTAGAAGCATATTCTATTGCCAACTCCTTCTGCAGCTGAAACGGAACAGTCTGAAGAAATGAAGTCTAAATGAACTTTATTATCCTGCATAATTCCTCAGGTGAGTGGGGAAAGGCTGATGAATGCATTTTCCAGAGAAGATGCCTGAAACAGCATGACAATTATAATGCTTTGTGCCATTCTAGTGTTGACTTTTGCTAGTCCATCTTCAAAATATGGGTGGATCTATTTGCTAACAAAGCTGACTCTCAGATAGTGTTAAGGGGTTAATGCTTTATGACACACAACTGCAGGTTTAACTTTAGAGCTGCTTAGTGGAAGAGAAGCAGATGTCAATGTCTGAAATTGTGTGGCTAGTTACTAATGAACCAAATAAGGCATCCCATAAGCAAATCTTCAACATAAAACTAGGGTTCACATGTTGTGATAAGCCACTTAAAAATTAAAAGATCCCAGTGTGAGTCTACCTGATTTATCATGCTCTTTATGTCATATGAAACATGCTGTAGTCTCATGCTCAGCTGTTGCTATGGTTCCCACCATGGTTTTAGGTGTGGGACAGAAAATCATCCCATCCATTCTTCAGTGCTCTCTTTCCCTGGTGGCAATATATGGAAAAAACTACATCAGTGCTGGTATAAGGATTGCCACAACTTTTGATGTGGATTCATATTCCAAGTAGTCTGAAATCAATTTGACCCAGAAGTATACTTTAGAAAAACTATCACATTTGCCCTGCTAATAATGTGCAATTATTTTTTTTTCAAGTTATCCTGTAGAGCTTTTCACTTTCTTTAACTCTAAGGTGAGCATCCTTTTAATGGGAATACAGATGCTGTAGCTTTTCAGCATCTTTTCATCCCATTTGATTAGAAATGTGAAAGCATACTGTATTTCTACATGAAAACTCTTATTTAATGCAGAAACAGTTTATCCAACTTGTAGACCAGACACTGGTCCTTGCTCTGCTTGAACTTCAATCCGAGTCCAAGCGTAGTATCCAGTAAATGCATTTATTTTGCTTCCAAGGCAAGCGGCAAAGCTTAAGACAGCTGCCTGTCAGTAACAGACCTGTTAGCATAGCAGTAAGCTGTGTTCCTGGAAGCTGGAGTTCTCAAGGTTACAGGAGAAAGACAAATAGCTCTATTCCATGTCAACTGCTATCTAGAAAGATTTCTTAATTTTGCCTGAACACAAGCCCTGCAGGAGATGTGCTAACTCCAGCAGATCCTCTTGTGGGTGTTACTGCTAGCAAAAAAATACAGAAAATTCATTCTACAATGCCATAACACACTTGGAGTTAGAAGTATAGAAAAAAAGAAAAACAGCTTGTATTTTTCAGACTGAAAAAAATCATATTTTCTAATAAAGTATTTAGCCTTAAACCCCAAATTCTTTCAATGAACAACATTTAATGTCTCATATATTCAATTTTTTTTATAATCCAGTCTTGTTTGGTATCATCACTCTCAGAAATACCTAATTTTCTGGAAAGGAACATTATTACCATCTTCTCCTCAAATCTCTAATTAAATTGTATATTTTTTACAGTTTAAACATTGATGTGTATATAAATGGCAGTTCACTAAAAACACCATGGCATGACAGTTTCTTAGAATCTTATCAGAATCAAAGTATGCTGACCAATATATAAGATAAATATGTAGTTGCTTGCTTCCTAGCACTGCAGCTTTAAGAAATCATGTGATTGCAGGAAATATCTGGCTTTTATAAAAAATGTAAAGTCTGAGCCCTCTTGATATTGGAGAAAAGGCCTAAAAATATGATGAGGTATGACCAAAGGGTGCAAAAACCAGACTAAATAAAATGAGGAATACTGACAACGCATTGTAGAAGCACTACTACCATTACAAATTGTCATATTGAGCTGCTGATGTATGTTGGGGTCATTAGGTTTTTACTTAAAGTTGAATATTTGAGAATATCCTCTACACAAGTATAATTCTTGGGCCAAGATAGAAAGACTTAAGTCTTTTAAATCCTTTTTGTGGCATGAAGCTTGCAGCCAGACTCGCATGTCAGAATGTGAAGCCTGGAGCTGTAGAAGGTTAGCAGCCTCTATGCTCTTTGAGTCTTTGATGTTTATTAAATAGAGTGAGTTTCATAGCATTAGTCTTCTAAAATTGCTGTCTCCTTTAGCTGGTCTCTTTCTCCAGCTTAGCCTTCTGTTCCTGTGCTTTGATAATTCTGTTCACAGAGCAGCCTCATGAAGCATGCAAGAAATGTGCATATAATAAAGCTATCTTGAGCAGTTGCTTGGTAACTCTGTGTGTTAAAATGCTTCTAATATTCAAGAGATACATGGATTACAATAATAAAAATACAGGAATACAGCAGGGAATCACTAACAGCTGTTTGGGATTTAACACCCACATCCAGATGCTTGAAAAAAACATGTTGTACTAATAAGCAATGGATTATTAGCTGTTTGAGTAATTGCTTTGGATTCAGCATAATGATGATTTTTCAAAAATCTTTTGCCTTTTTTCATACTACGTAAAATAATAATTATAGGATTTACCTTCAGTTACTGTACTGGGTCCTTGCCTGTCTCTGGAGCTTCTGTGGAAGCCGCCACAGTCTGCAATGGGGCACCAGACCAACTCTGCAGGGTGGGGGTTAGGACAGGCCCCTGAGAAGTCAAACACCTGCTTTCTAATCCATGCTCCAAAGACTATTAAGGTATGTTTGTACAAACCTGAAGAGATCAGTCAGGAAAAATTAGAAGGATATTGTACACTAGTGGCCAAATATTATTGCAAATTAAAAAAAAGAAAAAGGCCTAAACTGGAGGAAGAAGTTAAACTGTGTCTAACTTTCTAACTTTTGAACTACTTATTTGCTGGGACTTCAGCGCCAGGTTCAGTTTTTTATGGAAGATACAATTTTGTGTGGTTTACTAACATACTTGCAAAAATATCCAATAGAAGTTTCTACCCAAAATTTCATTATCTTCTGTGTTGAAATATCTGACAATAGCAACAGCAACAGAAAAAGTATTCCAGTCTTCTTTTTAAAGACTTTCCCATAGGTCATTGCTCATAATTAATCTCCAATGGCCTTTTCCTAGTAGAAGATTAAGTTTCACAATGGGAGGATAACCTTAACGTCTACTGACACTTTTGGGGAGACTGGATGGTGGTGGTGCTTCTCATTTGGGTTCCATTTTTAAATTTAGTATTATGAAATATTACTGTTTGAATAAATTTTTCCATTTTTGTAATGATGAACACATATTTAGTGGCAAGCATAGCCACAGAAGTCAACTGAATGAAATCCCAGAACTCTCTCAGCTAAATGGAGAGAAAGGGTAGGTACCTTCTCCTAATGCACTTCATCATTGTGAGCTACATGGTTCAAAGAAAGAGGATGAGTTATATTCTGAAAATGTGCATATGTGTGGTGTCAATTCAGACCCCTAAACAAGTGGTTAGGGATGTCTCACTCTGCCCAAACACCTGCATGGTGCTGACAATTGCAGCACGTGTCCTGGCACATCTCGCACTGTTCTGCAGCAGCAGCTGGAGGCATCTCTAGGCTAACTCAAATGGACAGGAATGCTCATGCTCAGACAGCTGAATTGTCTGTTGTCCCTCTGGTTTGGATAGAGAGCAAATGTTTTGGATTTGCTTGGCAGTGTTCTCATAGCAAAGGCTCCAGTAGGGAGGGCTTCTCTGAGGAGCTGCCAGAAGCTTACTCACATCCAACAGAGCCAAGGTCAGCTGGCTCCAAGAGGGACCCACTGCTGGCCAAGGCCAGGCCAATCAGCAGTGGTGGCAACAGCTCTGTGATAACATATTTAAGAAGGAAAAAATAAATATAGTGGGCAGAAGCAATTGTGGACACAGAAGAGTAGAGTGGGGTGAGAACACATGAGAGCAACAAGTCTGAAGATCCCAAGGTTGCTGCAGAAGGAGGGGAAGGAGGTGCTTCAGCCAGAGATTGTCCTGCAGCCCCTGGTGCAGCCCTTGGTGAGGCAGCTGTGTTCCCAGAGCCCATGAAGGACCACGGGGGAGCAGAGATCCACCCACAGCCCGTGCAGGACCCCAGAGCAGAGCTGTGGGTGCCCGATGGAGGCTGTGACCCTGTGGGAAGCCCACCCTGGAACAGGCTCCTGGCAGGACCTGTGGCCTATGGAGAGGGAAGCCCACACTGGAGGAGGTTTGCTGGCAGCACTTGTGACCCCATGGGGGATCCATGCTGGAGCAGCCTGTCCTGAGGGATTGCATACCTTGGGAGGGATCCACTGCAGGGACCCACTCACAAGGAGCTGCAGCCCATGGGAAGATCTCATGCTGCAGAAGTTCTTGGAAGCCCGTCTCCTGTGGGAGGGATCCCATGGTGGAGCAGAGGAAGGACTCCTCTCCCTGAGGAGGAAGCAACAGGAGAAACAACATGTGATGAACTGACCAGAACCCCCTTTCCACACCTCCCTGAGCTGCTGGGAGGGAGGAATAAAGAACTGTGAATAAAGTTAAGCTAGAGGGTAAGGGAAAAGTGTCTTAAAAGTTGTTTTACTTCTCATTATCCTGCTCTGCTTTTGATTGGTAATAAGTTTAACTAATTTCCTAGGCTCAGTCTGTTCTGCCCATGACAGTCACTGAGGAGTGATCTCTCCCTGCCCTTATCTCATCCATAAGCCTTTTGTTGCATTTTCTCTCCCCTGCCCAGATGAGGATGGCAGTGATAAAGTGGCTTTGGTGGGCATTCAAAACACCACAGCAAGAGATAGAAGTCAGGAAAAAAAATCAGATTAAATGCATAGAGAATCAAGTGAAATTGGTCTGACGGATGGCAATGTTGTGTAGATGTGATAAAAATTTTGTACTATAGACAAAAACTCTCCCTTCTATCCCATGTACTTTTTCCAGAATTAATTATCTGATTATTTTAAGGTGTTTAATAATCTTTTATTACAAAAGCAGTTGTGATAGCACTAGAACAAGTGAATATTGTGAAGAAAAATAATTTCAGTTTTCTTCATTTTTTTCACAGAAATCTAATGTCAGTAATAGCAGAACGATAGAATGCTTTCACCTGTTGCCTTTTCTGATATTTAGTAACTATCGTTTCCCATTT